TGTGTCAAAATAAATAAATAAACTTTAAAAATATATAAAAAATAAATAAACTAAGGGTCAAATTAAATACCTTTGAGGCCAGACAGGTTAATAAGGTAAATAAAGGAAATGAACAAGGTGAAATAGTAGAAACACAACTAAAACTGGCGACTTCTCAGTAGTGAGGAGACACAGGGAATGGCAGAGACTATGGCAAAATCTGATTTTCATGGCAATACTTTAATTTTTTTTTAAATATAGCCAAGTGGTTCAGTTAAAAACAAAACAAACAAGGGGCACCTGGGTGGCTCAGTCGGTTGGGCGCCCGACTTCAGCTCAGGTCACGATCTCGTGGACAGTGAGTTCGAGCCCCGCGTCGGGCTCTGGGCTGATGGCTCGGAGCCTGGAGCCTGCTTCCGATTCTGTGTCTCCCTCTCTCTCTGCCCCTCCCCTGTTCACGCTCTGTCTCTCTCTGTCTCAAAAATAAATAAACGTTAAAAACAAACAAACAAAAGTCTGTGGGCTGAACAAAACATATATGTTGGCTGGATCTGGCCGCCATTTTACATCATCTGCTTCAGACACAGTCCATCCAATCACCTACTGCTTCCCAGAGACCTAGCACAACAGCTGCAGGATGAGCTGGTTCTAGGCAGTGATGCCCAACCCTTCAAAAACGCACTAGCTTCACGTTTTTGTGTATTTCTGGTCCTAAGCCTTCAGAACAGTGCTCTGGCTCTGGATGCCTCCATTTCCCTCCCCACTCTTACACTCTTGAACCAGGTTTCCTCACTCACATTTCAGCCCAGCTCTCTCTCTCTCTCTCTGGTGCTGTCGTCACCCCATAGTGAAGGGGAAAACTTCCTAGCCCATCCCTGGCCTTATAGACTCTACCCTTTAAACCTAAAACTGGGTTGGAGTGGAGTGGGAAGCATTTCCTAGAGAAAAATTAGGTCATCCCCATTCACAAGTGAAGAATCTGAGATCTACTTAGATCAGGTCATTTGGCTGGGAAGTAAAGTAGGGGCAATTTGGACCCAGATTAATTCCTCCTCCAAAATCCCTTCCTCAGAGAGTCTCTCCTTTTCCACTAAAAGAGCTCTGAACTGAGCAGGAACCTCTAGAAGACCTGGGATGATACATTTTACCGTGAAATTCTATAGAAATGTAGCTTTCTATTCCGCAATATATTTGTATTTGTTCTAATAAAGAATTTGATATTTTTTTCCTGCAGGTAAAAATAATGTCTCAAATACTTGCTATGCTATTATGTTAAATCTTCTTATTCTCTAGACTCTGAACCACATCTCCAGGGGCACATGCACCCCTGTCCCATTGGTGACATGCACGTGTCACATTGATGCCATCAATACTGCCATCCTCTTCCTCTACCAGCCTCTCCCAGGCTCCCCCAACCCAGACCGCCAACAGTCACCCCATTGTTAGAAGGCAAAACTTGCCACCTGGGTCTCATGAAACTTGTAAAAAAAATCAATCAATAAAGTAATTCATTGATTTTTTTTTACCTTGAAAATAACAGTTGAAAACCCCCAATTGTGAGTTTATTTGTCTGTTTTTTTCAGATCAGATAAAGTGAGCTCAAGGCTCAGTCACTCAAACCGTTTTGTCAGCAGAAAGGTGACTAGCCCTAGCCACCGTGGTGGATTTGACTGCTGTACAGTTTTATAGTGTTTATTTTTTGTCATTTGTCTTTTACCTATAATGGACCCTTGTAAAGAAAAAAAGCATTGAAATTTAAGTCGATGTGGAGCCCCAACTTAGAATCATACTATATTAATTCAGCAAGTGCATCACTTGGTTCTTTTCATCAGATACATACGTTACATGCATCTGATCAAAATGTATATACTGCATCAAGATGTTTCTAGTGCTTTTTAAAAAAAAAAATCAATGCTAAAAAAATGCAGCAACTTTTGCACCCAATTTGGCTTTAAACTTAATGGAAATGGAGACCTTGCATATTGGAATATGCTACTTGCAGAGATGTGCTTAAAAATAACAGCCTAACTCTTTCTGTCCTATCAGATAATTATGGCAGGAGAAACAAATTTATTTTAAAATTTCCCAGTTAATTTTTATGGCTCAAATGTTAAGAATGTGAGCATCAGATTTTGAAAAACAAAATTCATCTCTTTTCATGTTGTATTTTTAAATTTCAGTCTACATTTTTAAAAATATGTCTACTCAAAGCATGTCACTTTAAAAATATTGTAACATTTTATACTTTTATTTAAAGAAAGTGAAATACCTCATATCACTTATTGTTTTTTTGAATTAGAAAAGTAAAACGTATCTTTACATAGTTGAGCATTATGACATTTAAAATTAATTTCAAAAATATATTTAAGATTATTTTTTTTTCAGAAAGCTACTTTTTTCTCATATGCTTCATGGAGAACTTTTTAAAGGAAGTGTTTAAGATTTTGAATTAATTTGAAAATGGTTTGGAACTTGGAAACATTTTGCTAATTCTGCTTTCATGTAAATTCATGTCACATGAGGCATATGTTCTTTAAAAGCTTGCCATATTGGAATAACAACCCAAAGAAATGAGTCCCAAATGGTAGAGTGTCCAACCCATAACAGGGAAATATTTGGGTGAAACCCTTTTATCAAATTCTTTTAATCTAACTACAGAGGTGAATATCTACTTCCCAAGCGGTATAGATTATTCTATATTTTTAGCATATTAACCAAAGTTTCAACTGAAGTACCCATATTGTAGATATGGGATTCCATATTGTAGGTATAGGATGTTGACACACTGTAAGTGTACAGAATTTATAAAGGAAATATTTAAAACCAACTTAAAGAAAATATAAAAACCATATATAAAAAGTGATATTGAGATGCTCAGCCCGAATAAAGATAGGCAAAGGAAGGATTTATGAAGAAATTTTCCTGTGTAGAGCTATTAACATACTATGAGTGCCTACACCACGCCCTCTACCCACAAGACTCTACCTTAAGCCTGTAGAAATGTAGGAATAGGTCGCCTGTTGTTCTGCAGTTTAAGGCAAGGGATGCATGAATGTTTCCCTTAGACAGATGCGGGCCATGGGAGAAAGCCAAAGTAGGGTCAGCAATAGGACCTCCCGCAGTGCTGGAAGAAAACTATCAGCAAGAAGCTGGAGGGGAAAGTTGGATGTCTACCGGTTCCAGAAGAAGTTAAAAACGACTGCTCAAACTCTAGACAAAGCAGTTAGCAAACTTGTTTTGGAAAGAGCCCGATAATAAATAATTTAGGCTTTTAGGGCTGTATGATCTGTGTCACAACTACTCAACTCTCTGTTTGTAGCATGAAAGCAACCATAAACAATCCATAAATAAATACACATGTCTCTGTTGCACTAAAACTTTATTAACAAATACAGGTAGCATGCTGGATGTGGCCCACAGCCATACTTCACCAGCTGTGCTCTAGACTCATCAGCCTGTCCCAAAAGAAGAGGAAGAAAGCAGAGCAGACCCCGGCTGTGGAAAAGCCCATGAAGACCCAGTCTACCCTAGCATCCTGCCGTCCTGCTACCCTCGAGGAGTTAGAAACTGACTGGCAAGCTGTAGAGGGAGAGAAGGAAAAGCCAGACGAAGAGATATAAAGAGAGAGCAGCAACCACCCTCTCGTCCCAGGAAGCATCCAGCCTGAGGAAGACTGAGCTGAGAAAGAAGACAATATTTGAATTAAATCCATTTCAGAGGTCTTGGGCCAAATACACTTAATTTCTGAACTCAGAATGCATTTCCAATTTAAAATGACAGTAGACCTGTTTACCTAAGAGTCAAAAAAGTCATGACTGAGGTTGAGAAAAAAGAAAATGAGTTATATGTTGATTTAACCACACTTGCTTTTCCAAAATACTGGGGTGTATACAATCACAGAGTCCAGCATTTTCTTTTCTTTTCTTTTCTTAGCTGAAGACCCCAGCTATTATGGAGAAACAGGTGGTGACATCACCCACCTCAGTAGCCTTTTGCAAACTCTTGACAAGGAGCTCACCAAAAAGGCCACTCAGCAGTGTGAATGTTATTGACTCATTGTCCTGTCCAGTTTCTCCAACAGTCCAAGACAGATATTTGGTTAGAGAAGATAACTGGGGATTCTTTTGTCCTGCAATAAATATCATGACTAATTTATGTCTTTCTTCAAGTAAAGTGTGCACATCCACTTAGATGCTTTTAATTTGCCAGCAGGGTCACCTTTCTGAGGGCTCTCGTGCCTTTCCAAGGGCTGCTGGAAAGCTTATCTGTGGCCTGCGATTCAGAGCAAATGGCTAATTATAGGGGGTGCTGATCTTACTCTGCACTGAATGGGGCCCCTGGAGCATTTGCAAGGATCGGTGGAAAGCTTTATTCATTCTCCGCTCTTACACTAGCGAAGACAACAGTATGAAAATCCATCTGACTTTTGTTAAGACATCTGATTTATTGGAGCTGAAAAGGTTTTTAAAGCAAATGGCGTCATCTTCTATTGATCTTAGTGCCTTTGTGCTATGCATGTTATGTCATCAGATTATCTAACTCATTCATCCACCTTTTCCAAAATGTGTGACTCTTCTTCATTGTCTCCAACTGCTACCACACAGTCACGCTTTTCCTGATAATGGTATAATTCTATTATGGTATTTCCCGGTGTTTTGCTTTGTGTTTGATCACAGTGAAGTTCTCTTCTTAACGTATTAGCTGCCACTAGGGAGCATGGATACGTGTCTATCTCCTGATTTATACAGTTCTCACAGGTGTAATATGCATTACAGGTGTCATATGCATCACATTTACTTGGATAATTTTTCTTCTTTTAAAATTCCATAACATCCACCCAAGAAATGGCGATGAGAAAAAGAGTGAGAGAGAGAGAGAGGAGGTTGATGGTTATATGAATCTTGGTTGACTGCCAACTCCAATAATCATTTTATTTTTGAGAATTTTATATATATGCAATAGCAATTATTTATCTAAAGTTAGTGAATTGGGTTTTTACCCCCTCTTTTGCTTTCTTTTTTCAGCATCTCATTGTCATCAAGAATAAAAGACTCTTGGGGTGCCTGGGTGGCTCAGTCAGGTAAGCATCAGACTTTGGCTCAGGTCATGATCTCACATTTTGTGGGTTCGAGCCCCATGTTGGGGTCTGTGCTGACAGCTCAGAACCTGGAGCCTGTTTCAAGTTCTGTATCTCCCTTTTTCTCTCTGTCTCTGTCTCTCTCTCTCTCTCCCAAAAATGAATAAACATTTAAAAAATGGATTTAAAAAAAAAGAATAAAAGACTCTAAATCAAAACTGAACTTTTGTCTTCAAAATGTTGGATTATGTGGAAAACTGTCAGAGTGCTATTTTCAGGTTTGAGTTATAAATACCATTCTTAATGAAAGGAAAATTAGGTAAGTTCAGCCTTTCACACTATTCAACATTTCTTTTCTCATTTTCATTCAACAAATATGTAGGGAGAGCCCACCACATTTGAGAAAATGTGGGAAAATACTAGGCCTTGGGATATGACAGAGAAAGAGACAAGGCCAAGAACAGTATTAGAGGGTGATCAATGTTATGCCAGGATGTAAAAGTAGGAGGAGGTAAGAGAGTGACTTTGTAGTAAACTTAGATTGAGTGGGTCTAGGAAAGGCCTCTCTTTGAAGGTAAATTAACACTGGGGATGCCTGAGTGGCTCAGTCTGGTTGAGCATCCACCTCTTGATTTGGCTCAGGTCATGATCCCAGGGTCGTGGGATTAAGCCCCACATGGGGCTCTGCACTGAGCATGGAGCCTGCTTGAGATTCTCTGTCTCCCTCCCTCTGCCCTTCTCCCCAACTCGTGCTCTCTCTCTCTCTCTCTCTCTCTCTATCTCTCTTTCTCTCTCTCTCTCTCAAATAAAAAGAAGAAAAAATAAAGTTGATCTGTGTGATGAGAAACAGTCATGCAAAGATCAAGGAATAATAAACACATTCCAGAGAAAGATGTTAATGCAAAGCACCTACAGTAGGAACCAATTGCAGGGAGCCAAAAGAAGTTTAGTGTGGCTGGAGAGTTGTTGCTGATGTGAAGATGCTAAAAGTTGAGCACAGGGTCATAAGATGAGGCCTTCCTAAGAAGGGATAAAGACTGGATTTTTTTCCCCCAAGTTTTAGAAGAACTCAGACAAGAAGGGTATTTAAGTCGGAAGAATAACATAACCATAATCTGATCTACAATGTTTTAATATTGTGTTCTGGCTGCAATGGGAAGAATGGATGATGAGGCAAGATAGAGAATTAATATGGAAACTGTTATATTCCTCCAGAGAAGAGATGATGATGTCTTGGATTAGGGGATAGTAAAGACGTAGAAAAGTAGAAGAATGCAGGATAGATTTTGAAGTAGAATTGGTAGATCTTTCAGAGAGATAAATGTTGGAGTAAAGGAAATAGAGGAAACAAGGATAATGCCTAGATTTTTGTCATGCCCAACAGGATGGGGTAGTGGTGCCACTTACTGCAATGGGACCTAAGGAATAGGAGCAGAGTGAGGAGGTCCACAAAGAATGGTTGTTTTAGTGGTATTAGGTTTAAAATATCCTCTGGAGGAGTACCTGTGGGGCTCAGCCGGTTGAGCATCTGACTCCTGATGTTGTCTCAGGTCATGATCTCACAGTCATGAGATTGTGGCACGTGTTGGGCTCTGCACCGACAGCTTGGGGTTCTGTCTCTCCTCCTCCCCTACTCACTCACTCTAAATAAATAAATAAATAAATAAATAAATAAATAAATAAATAAACATTTAAAAATAAATAAAATATCATCTGGGAACCCAAGTGGAGTCGCCAGGCAAGCAGACAGATTTTGGGGAGGTCTGTGCTGGAAACAAGTATTTGAGGGTGATGAGTATAGAAATAGTATTTGATGCCAAGAGGATAGTTGAAGTCACCAAAGGAGAGAAGAACAGAAAGAAAAGGAAAGAAGAAATCCAAGGTCCAATTGTTTATATTAAGAAGAAAGATGCTCCATCAAAGGAGCCTGCAGAAAGGTAGCCAGCAAAAAGAAAAACCAAGCAAATGTGGTGCCACAGAAGCCAAAAAAAGAAAGTGCCCTCTAAAGAAAGAAGGAACCAACTGTACCTAAAGCTGTGGAGATGCCAAGTAAGGGAAGGGAAGAAGGGTGACCATCATAACCAGTAAGCAGCACAGATGGCACTGGCGAGTAGTTCCAGAACAGCCTCGATGGAGGGGTCAGGTCAGAAGCCCAGTAAAATGGGGATGATGTCCTTAACCACAGAAAAGTCACTTAGGACGTTTCACTGAAAAGAGAAACAGAGTAATAAGGAAGTAATGGAGGGTAATTTTGTCCCAACAAATATTTATTGGCCAAGTGCTAAGTGTAAGGTGCTGTGCTAAGTACTGCTAGGGAACAGAAAGGGGAATACCACAGAGTGCCTGTTTTAAAAAGTCTCACAATGGTTGGTAAAGCATTGGGAGAGTATTAACAGTCACCTAGATTTGTTATCTATTGCTGTAATACTACATAACAAAGTGTCCCCAAACTCAAACGCAGCAAGCATTTATTATTGTTCATAAGCCAGGTGGGGGGTTCTGCTGATCCAAGTCTGGCTCAGTTACTCAGGGATGGGCTTGTTCACATGCCTGTGCTCAGGTCCCTTCCAGTGCCAGGACCTTTGTGAGCATGAGAGTCACATACCCATGAGACTGGCCTTGACCACTAGTCTGGAAGAAGACCACGTGCCAAAGAAAAGAATGGGGCCAGCATCCAAAGAAGAACAGAGATAATCACTGAAGAGTCTTAACAGTACCATTGAGCCTGAATCCAAACATACCTGGTGGTTTCCATCCTAGACTTCCTAGTCATGGAACCCCAAAACTTCCCCTTTATGTTGAATATAATCTGACTTAGGCTCTGTTACTTGCTTGCAACCCAAAGAGTTCTAATACACCCAAGTTAGAATTTTTGGACCTTTAAGAAAAAATATCCACTGATGATATAATCAAAGAGAGATTTTTTTTTTTTTTTAAGGGGGATTTAGGAAGATTCTTTCTCATAGACTGGTTAGGAGAGATAAGCACCTGCTGAAGGGAAGTCCAGCTGGCGAGAATTTCATAATTTAGTTCCTGAGGATAAAAAAGGAGAATCCCATTTCCCTGTCCCCCAGCTGATAGGGGGTACACACCAGGGCAGCCTTGCCGGTTGCTTAATGCCAGTGTCCATTCTGATAAGGAACATCCACATTTTATGATTGTTAAGTATCTTGATGATCACCCTTGCCCATCCCTGCGCTGCAATATATTTTCAATAAAGTGAAATGGCTTCGAAACGTTTGAGAATTCTGTTTTCTGCCTGCCTGTGATGTGTGACCTCAATTTTTTCCACCTTGGATATCAAGATGCAACAGAAATAAATTTGCCTGCAGCCTGGATGAACTGTCTCCCCATGAGAGGCACTGACTTCGCTTGCTCTTCTCCTTTGACCAAGTCGTGCTGAAATAATCAGAACAGACCCGGGCGGAATGCAAATGGCGATAACATCCAGACTGTCAAAGACACAGACAGGAGGCTGACTTCTGGCCACAAAGTGCTAGGAGCAGACAGGCAGGAAGGAAGCCAGGAAGAAACAGGGATATGAGTAACTACAAGAATTATGTTGGCGCTGCACGATGTGCCACTGAGTCAACTTGTATTATCAACAAAATCCGGAGGGTCATTGGACTGTGGAATACACCCAAAAAGATGGCTGCTCCCCACCCCCAAACACTGTCTCATCCACTGGCTACTTCTCAAACTTCCGCCCCACACGTGATTCTTTCGTCTGAGGAAATAATCAGGCAAACGGGCAGTGACTGAAACTTTATTTATAACAGAAATAATTCAAAAACAGTCTCCATGTGCAGAGCTTCCGGGGCTCGAACTCACAGACCGTGACGTCATGACCTGAGCCGAAGTCGGACGCTCCACCGACTGAGCCACCCAGGCGCCCCGAGAATATTGCTGTTTTGAACAAAATCAGAGTTGTCTTCATCAGAAAGAAGAATGGATATTCATAAGCAATTTGCTACATCTGTCACACAGCTTAAATTTCCTGAAATACGGGATTGTTTAAGTAACGAACGGTACAGCCACGGGGTGGAATACTCTGCAGCTGTCTGTAGCTATTAGGAAAGATGCCGTAGGAAATTGTATAGTAAATGTTCTGCACATTTTAAATGAAAAAAGCAAGGTAAAGAAATGTGAATAATAGGATCATGAGTGCGTGTGCGCATGCATGTATCTCATTCATGCACGTGAAATATTTGAAAGGATGTATAAGAAAGTGTTATCAGTAGTTACTTTTGGAAGATGAGACTAAAAAAGAGTATGACATTCACTTTTCACTTAAATCCATGCTATTTCTTTTGCAATTGGAATCAGAATTTCTTGATATGAAAATACTCCATTCAAATCTGGTAACTTGCTTCCAGATAGGTCTAAATATAACAACATTCTGGGAAATTTTGCCTCAGCCCTGTCCTCTGAGATCATTAGCAAGAAGTGTGTTCACCATGATTCCAGTTCAGCAAAGAAGGCTCATCAGAAGAAGGAAGCACACCCCCCAGGTGAGACTCCATCTCAGAGAGAAGACACCCAAGGTTTGGAGGGCAGCATATCCAGTCCGCTCCACGTTACCCTTTTCTTTAAGGTAAGAAGTATATTCTTGTTTCTAAATTCACTTGATGATCTGATGTGTTTGTATTCACCCTGATGAAAGTCCTCCTTTGTATTGAAGTTAAAAATCCTCTGTGTATCCCATAATTCTAGTTCTTTTGAGCTGGTAAGAAGTTGGTCACCATCTTCCTCCATGTTGTAACTGAAAACTGGGTGCTTCTAGACGGCTAAAGAAATTAAATGTGTATACCCAGGATTCAAAAAACTAAACCATGGCAACTCAGATGAAAGCTTAACATTTCTTTTGTGTTTTATGTTAACAATTTGTGAGAATTTTGCACTCTCATCATATAGCTATGACGGAGTCATAGATCATCAAAAATGATCTTCTCCCAGGGCACCTGGGTGGCTCAGTCGGTTAAGTGGACAACTCTTGGTTTGGGCTCAGGTCATGATCTCGTGGCTTCGTGGGTTTGAGCCCCACATCAGGCTCTGTGCTGGCGGCTCAGAGTCTGCTTGGGATTCTCTCCCTCTCTCTCTCTCTCTCTGCTCCTTCCACACTTGTGCTATCTCTGTCTCTCTCAAAATAAATAAACTTAAAAAAATAATCTTCTCCCCCACACTGATATTTACATAAATTGATGCCCTGGGAAGATGTGTCATGTCTTTGCAAAGACCACCTTCAAAACTATATTCCCACAGATTATGCTTCCATATGACCGCACCCCACAGACTTCTCAACTTTTCAGTCAACCACCCCGATTCTCTTAACCCATGTACATGGGCCTCAACTCTTCAGTCCTTCACATGTTTCCATCATTTTTCTCCAAAGCCTATTCTTAAAACATGGTGCTCAAAAATTCACTGCAGCACCCCAATGAGATGTTGTTTTAAAAGGCCCATACTCATGGCCCCCTCTTTCTCTCCCCTTATTTGTACACCCCCTACTTATTTGTACCTCTGTACTTCCTGGAAAAAAAAAATGAAAGCACTGAAAAATCAAATCAATTAGTATTACTGAGCCTCTCCACTAAAGACTCATGTGCCATTGTATGGTGCACCACAGGATTAACATGCCAGAATGAAGATACTGGAAGAATAAACTAGAAAAGTCCAAGAGAATTTTTAATAGACTGCATGAGTTATAGAATAGAAAAGTGGACAGAAGTCAGTAAGAGATATAGGAAATCAAGCAAGTATTGCATAAAGTGACAACCAAATGGTAAGTTTCTAATACCTGGCATCAGGGCCAATCTGCCCATTGCTTCCCAGCCTGAGTGAGAGGGCACCCCAAGAAGTCTCCTTTGTTCCCTGAGCGATACCAGGCCATCCTACCTGGCCACACCCCACACTCATATTTTCTAGCCTGTTCTGATGACTCCAGCATCAGACATCTCTTGTAAGCTGCTGCCTCTGACCTCCTTACTTTGTCCAATGCCAGATATTATAGCTTCTCTCATAGCGAACTTGGTTCCCTGAAAGTGCATTCACCCCTCAAATTACATTTGCTCCAGAGAACATCCAGGCATTGTCCAGCATGTCCCCCAGACAAAATCCAGGCTGGAACTAGCCAGTAAGATTGAAGTTGCTTCTGGGATGGTGTCAGGCCCTGAAGAGAACTGAACAGTGGTCTGGCAAAATTTCCAGCATATTTTAAAAGGGAAATGTTTTTGTCCAGATATACATAGTTGGATTTGAATAATGCACATATAATAGAACTGGAAATGTGTGAAGGATTTGGATAGAAGCTAGGAAAGAATAAGCATAGAATAAATATAAGGCAAAACATGCTTTGAACCTTTCATTGTAGGTGGAAATTTTTATTTGGTTGTAAAGAAAAAGTTTCTGACTCTCAGGTCAAAAAATAAGAAGAAATGTTTCAGATTATGAGTGTCTTTCCCTGAAAACCCTTTAAATAAGATCTTTGCTATCCAGAAGCCAGAGTATACAGTAGATTGGTGGTCCCCAAATCTACTTAATTAATAGCATCAGTAAAGAAGATTTTAAATGCAGATTTCAGATTTAACGAATCAGAATCTTAAAGGAGAACCAGGGAACTTATTTCTAAATCTAAACATCTAAATCTAAATCCATTTCTCGTAATTGTCCAGGTTGGGGAGCCATTGTGAGTATGACATCCTATTGAACCTTCCAGAGCTAAGATCAAAATTTTGTTTAATTTTTTTAATGTCTATTTATTTATTTTGGGAGAGAGAGAGAGATAGAGAGTGTGCACTAGCAAGGGAGGGGCAGAGGGAGAGAAAGAATCCCAAGCAGGCTCCGCACTGCCAGCACAGAGCCCGATGCAGAACTCAAAGTCGTAAACTATGACATAGCCCATGACCTGAGCCAAAATCAGGAGTTGGATGCTTAATTGACTGAGCCACCTAGGCACTCCATAGTTTCAAACTTTTTGTTCTCTAAGGCTGCTCAGTAGTTAACAGGTTTTTGTCTTGCTTTATTGAACTTTTAAATAATAATCCCTGCTTTTGATCAAGCCTAATGTCATACACTTTGGAGTATGTTTGCCCCACTTACAACAATTCTTCCTTCTCCAAGAACTTCCCAATCTATCGGGAGGACCCAGCAGACCTTTTTATATGATACAACTGAATTCCCTGGTCTCAGTTTAGCGGAATGGGAATGGTCCAAGCTGAGCAAGTGAGAAGCCCCAACCTCCTAGAAATCTGAAATTGGGAGCAAGAATGAAAGTTGGTCCCTCAATGTGGCTAGACCTTGTGAACATGGAAACTGCTGGCTGCCATCTTCCACTGGGCTGAGACACAGGAAAAGCTGTTCCCCAAGAAAGAAGGCAACAGATGCACAGAAAGAAGCAAGAGACAAGAGAGAGTACTCAGGATTTCCCACAGGTTTCCAGGCAACTATTGCAACCTTCCCAAGGCCCAGCTGCATTCTAGCCCTTGGGTTCCATAAGCCACCCCTCTTTCTTATAATTATTGTGGCTATTCTAAAGATAGCAACCTGCAGCAAGGGATCTACCTAATGTGCCTACTTACACTTGATAATGAATGACGTATTCTCGAGACAAGAGACGTTCCGTGTCCCTCCCCCTATGGTGACTGAAGTCATTCTTTTTCCAACTATAACAGTTCGGATGACATATGACAGCTTCCTTTACATTTGAAGATCTATATGCACAACATGTGTCTGTGAATACTGATATGATTGAAAAAATCAGCTATGTTCTTTATTAATATGGAAAAAATGCCCAGACGTGGTCTGATTACAAAAATCATTTTATAACATTATTTACAAATTCTTCTGGGGAAAAAATTACCATTCCTGAATATAAATGCTTAAAGGATTTTCTGATAAACTTTAATTAGCCTCAGATCTCTTCTGGGAACTTGCTACCCACACTTTCAGTTCTCTGTCAGGAATCAAATGGTATTTAACCAGACATTGTTTTTGTTTATTCCTGTCAAACAAAGACTATCCAGCCATTCTCTTTTCCTAGAAAAAACATTCTTACCGAAAGAATATCTTTGCATTGGTAAGATCTCTTTGCTTGTAGCAGGTGTGAAATGAAATTTAATGCCAGCTCATAGCAAAATTGTCTGAAAATTTAAAAAATCATTTGGTTGGGTCTTTATAAAGGCCTTTTTAGTTTATTGCCGAAGTTTACATTAGCCAATTGGCTGTGACTTTACTTTAGACTGCTTTAGACAAGTCTTGCATTGCGTTGTTCAAAAACATCCGAGTTACTTTCGATACTGGATTAGAATATTTGCTGTCCTTTTAGAGCTCTTCAAAATCCTGCCGCTACATCATTTGAAATGCTTCAGAACTATGCCTAAAATTTTTGCCTGTTCCCAGCTCTCTCACCTTTACCCCTTGCTCATTTAGAGTGTGGTTTGGCATCTGGTACAACTAATTTGCTCCTTCCAGAAAAAATCCTTTCTGGCATTACTTAGATCCTGATTGCTGGGCATATTACAAAACAACATCACTCTCCTTTTCTTTTGCCAAATAATGTATGCATGTGTTCATTCATTACTTCACATCTTTATTAGTATCCAAAATGTGCAAAGTATCCTTGACGTTTCCTGTCCTCGAGAAGCTGAGGGAATAGATGATAGAAAAACAAACTCAGCCAGGCAACAAATGCAGACCACCTCATGTTTCAGAATGGCGTTGCGCTTAAACACATCAGATGACATCGAAGAAAATTTTTAAATATTGAAAAGAAATGTATAAATGTACTGAAGTCTTTCAAATAAGCAACTAACAGACCTGACAGTGTACAACCCAAAGCAGCTGTCCTAAGGATCCTTTCCTCAAAACCCTTCAGTGTCTGCTTCCTTTAAATCTATTCTCCTATCCCAATTCCAGCAAGGGGTTAGTTACCTTTTTCTTTCTCTCTCTCAATCCCCTTACCTTAGTCTAACATCCCAAACTAGACCTGTTCTTTCAGAAGTAGCTCCAGGACCTCTGTAGCCATTGAAGATTTTTTGTTGTTGTTGTTGTTTGGCTTTTTTTTTTTTTGAGCATGTGCAGTTTTATTTTCTTAATGAGTGAAGTCCAAGCCTGGAAGCTGTTCCACCAATCAAATGTCCTTTGCCTTTACTAGTAGGTCCAAGGGAGTCAGCAAGACTGTTTCTACTCACATAACAATAACTCTGTCTCCAGTAGAGCTGAGATGTGATACAACATAGGATAAGGGCCATATACAAGTTCGAAGGTACCAAGGGCATCTAGAAGAGCACAACCTTGTGAGGATTAGCCAAGTTTCATGGGCCAAGGGATGCAAATCAACTCAAAGCTGAGACATGAGTCATGTAGACCACATCAAGCCTGACTAGCACATGGATATAAGACAAGAACTTGCTACACCAGACCTCCCTTTCTGATACTCTGCAGTCTGGCAAAAGCCATTCTATCTGCATTTCTGTCTAGATATGTCCAATTTGCTGATAGACTGGGCCAAGGTTGTCATGGGCCAGCCACATGGAAGAGCATGGAAGAATTTATGCTGGTAGAGCAACCTACCTGTGCAGAAAGGAGTAAACACAG